CGGCCCGGGCCTCCTCCCTCATTCCCTCGGCGGGCAGAGCCGCCCGTCTCCCGCCCCTCCTCCTCCCTTTCCCACCCCTCGGAGTGGAGCTGCACATGCGGCTGCTCCCTGCTCTGTCCCGCCCAGCCTCGGTCGCGCAGGAACGGGTCCCTGCAGCCCCCAACCCATGGCAGGACAGTAGCCGCCTGTCAGGGGTCGTGAACGGCTGAGGCAGACGCGGCGGCTCTCGGGCCTCAGAGAGTGGGCGTCTCCGGAGGCCATGGGCTACCCCGAGGTGGAGCGCAGGGAGCCTCTGCCCGCGGCAGCGCCACGGGAGCGGGGGAGCCAAGGCTGTGGCTGTCGCGGGGCCCCGGCCCGGGCAGGCGAAGGGAACAGCTGCCGGCTCTTCCTGGGCTTCTTTGGCCTCTCGCTGGCCCTCCACCTGCTGACGTTGTGCTGCTACTTAGAGTTGCGCTCAGAGTTGCGGCGGGAGCGGGGAGCCGAGTCCCGCCTTGGCGGCCCCAGCACCCCTGGCACCTCTGGCACCCTGAGCAGCCCCGGTGGCCTCGACCCTGACGGTCCCATCGCCCGCCACTTCGGGCAGCCGTCACTTCAGCAGCAACCGCTAGAACCGGGAGAAACCACACTCCCTCCAGACTCTCAGGACTTGCACCAGGTGAGTCACCTAGGAGGGGCGGCGGCGGGCGAGGCCCCGTCCCATCACGGGTAGGGTGGGGGCCCTCCCCCACCGGGCCCTGGAGAGGACTTGGCCACCTCGAGCCAAGTTGGAGGACAGGACCAGGGAAGGAGTGGGTGAGCAGGAGAGAGGTTGCCCCGGGGCAGGTTGTCCGCGGTCCCTGGCTCAGCTTCCCCAGACTCCCTTAGGACCCCTGATCGTGGGAGCTCCGGCCTGCGCCCGCCGCCCTGGCTACAAGCTGCCTCCGGGAAAATTGGCGGCGCTCCCAGCCGGGCCGCGGCGCTGGGGTGCCGGCGCTGCCCCTCTGGCGGACTAACGGCGGCTGCTTGGCCCCTCTGCTCCGGGTGAGATCCTTTGCCCGCGGTGCTTGTTTTGTCGTGTCCAGAGCTGATGCCAGCACTAGCAGATTCTCCCTTGGAGCTGGAGCTGTAAACAGCTGTAATAACTGCTCCACTCCCGTTGAAACAACTTTTAATCGTATTTTCATCGCGGATCCTTGTGCACTGGCCAGGACGTAGGCTTGTTCACACTTACCTGCAATTTGAGACTGGTTGTCCTCGGTGTTCTAGTGAGGATCAGCGCCCCTGAGGAATTCTGGTAGAAATATGCCGTCTTGCTAGACAACTTCTGAAGAGCAATTTTAAAAATCCAAAAGGGAAATAAAACTCACCCTTTGCATGCCGGTTAACACTCTTTTGAGGGAGTGGGATGGAGACGTAGAGTGTGAAGTGTCTTCACTGCTGCTGCTTTGAGAACAAGAATCTACTGATGGAATAATTACTCAAGAGTAATCTCTCAAGGACAGGTTTCTTTTTTTTTTTTTGCAATCTTTATGATGTTTTTGCAATCTTTATGATGTTTTTGCAATCTTTATGATGTTTGTGCTCTTGTTAGCAAACTATTAGCTTTCATATTTGTTTTCTACTTTTTTTTGCTCTTTATTCAAATAGTTTAGTGCACTTAAAGTAAGGATACTCTTGACCTCCATATTTTGTCTTATGTAAAACTTAAGAGAAGCATCCAAAAATCCTTTTGAGATGGTTAAAAAATAATAGTAAATGTGTTCTTCTTGGGAAAGAGGTCAAGTTGTGCAGATAAGTTCCTTGAGGTGAGGGACCCAGGTTTTCTACACTTACCTCATCCGGCATCATTGTCATACTATGTAAATATTTGTGCTAGTTTCACCACCCATCCTAAGCTGGTGTTACATTCATGATAATACTGTGATGTTAGGACAGATACATTTTCTATAATGTGCATTATAAAGTTGCCCTGAGCCTTGAAATGTCTTGCTAGCACACTCCAACTTATATAACAGCTTATCAGAGAAGAGAATCAGTAGACATGCTTCTTACAGTTGAAACTTTAAACACTGTAGCTAAATGATAATTAACTAGGATTCTGGCTCCCTTTATCTGTCCACTGCCCACTAGAAATACTTAACATGTGAACATTGATACTCTGTGAGAAGATGAAGGAATTGAACTTCTTTAATCAAATGCAAGCCAAGGCTTTTTGGCATTCAGAATGGACAGACCTATGTTTATACACAGGAATAGCGGGACAACTGAACTCTAGGGCTTCTGTGGTGATGTAGGACTCTCACAGGTCTGTAATGGCATTTAGTTGCCTATTCTTTGCATAGCACTTCAAACAGTCTGTCTAGCATAACTAAAGCTCCCTATCTTCTGTCCTTTAGCCTTTCTGTTTTAATCTTTTTCAGCAGTAGAAGAAAGCATAATGGCTCTTTACTTTTGCTGACATCAGTTGGAATCAGAGGTTTTTACAGTTGTGAGGGGCCATATGGGTCCGTTTTGTTTGATCTCCTTGGCGAACACATAGATTCTGAGGACAAGTGACTTGTCTGAGGTGAAACAGCATTGGTGAAAATTAGAATAGAATTTGATCTCTTGACTTCCAGTTCAGTGCTCATTCTGCTATAGCATACTACCTCCCAGATCCTTTTTGTGGGGAGTGGGGTGGATCTCCATAGCAGAATTTTTACAAATTAGATGCCTCAGATCTGCATCACTTTCATCTACTCCACCTATATTTTGGCCAGACTAAGTTTAACCATGTAGTCATTCTTCCTGAACTTCACTTTCAGGAGAATTGGAATATGCTTTGAAGGAATTTTAGCCCAGATTCAACCTAAGTTTATCTTGAGGATATTGGTTTTCGGAAAGAGAGAGAGACAGAGAGAGACAGAGAGAGAGAAGCTGATTGGTTATTAGAGTTAAATTGATATTGCTACATTTTGGGTAAAATTTCTAGTGCCCTGGTGCACCCTCTGCTGGCTTTGTAGGGACATTTAATTGCAGTATCTGCTGACAGTCAAGATTCTAAGTTGTGCTGACAGATTATGATTCATAAATAAGGAAGTAAATAGCCTTGTAGGATTTGGCCACGTAGGTCATACTTTTATATTTTAGTTTTCCTACACAGACAATTGCTGTTACAGCAACTCTTAGGTGGAGAGGAAGACAGATAAAAATAACACATCCTTCATTGAGTAGAACATTAAGGTTTCTCACCAGCTTATATGCAAGTAGTGAAGGCAAACTGATGAGAATAAATTACAGGAAGATCTCAGGAGACCAAGTGGGCAGAACAGTCAGAAGTACTTTATTGTACAAGGTCATTCAAACCTCTCCAAGTTTATGGTATGATGGGTTCAGTTATGACTCAAGAAAGGGATCTAGAAATCACTGAAGATATATGTATGCCATACCTCAATTAAAAAACCTTTAAAACCGGATATTTAGAAGGAAATTAGGGCAGTCAAGGTACATGCCAGAGAGATCAGCAAAGTTCTCTAAGGGAATTGTTATCGAAAAGCCTCCCCAGTGGGGATATAGTTGCTGATGATAAAAAGTGAGAGGGTCATTTGGACCTGGAATCATAACTATTTCCTTCAGCTGGAGTAGCCGAGTACCTGTTGATTGATCTTGATATTCACTGGAGATGGTCCCAAGAGAAACATCTCATCAGTCTCTGAGTTAGACAACACACACTATGATTGCTAGAGTAAATAAAATAAAAATCACTGTTGACCATTTTGTGAAGAAGTTGGCCCAGTTGTGATTGTAGTCCTCAAAGGCAAGAATATGGTGGGCATCATTAGGAAAGGTGTTGAAAATGATGACAAAATAAAACCCTTATCTTTTTCATTTGAAAGACCAAAAGTAGATTTATATCCAGAAACCCAATTTAATTAATCAAAAGGATGGAGAGATTTTTTAGTTGTTGTTGTTTTTTTTTTTTTTCAGTCTAAAGAAATGGAGGTTGAGGAAGGCATATAATCAAAGTCTGGTAAACCATTAGAGAGATGACTAAGATTAATGTGTTGGTATAATTTAACTATCTAGTTCAATAACTAGAAAGTGTGCTATAGGTGGACACTATGTGAAGTATTAGATATCTTTTAATGCCTGAAAGATTATTTTGAGAAGGAGGCAAATAAGAATAGTATCTCATTCAAATGATTGCCACAAGAGATCATCTAAACTGAAACTCTAAAGTTTAGAAAGTATTTAGAACAATATGCATGGGTAGTTTAATAAGGGTTTTGGGGGGGTGATTGTTGGGGATATTTGGAATATATTCCTAATTACTTGAGGTGATGTCACAGAAGTCAACCTTAAGTTTTCACAAAACATCTCTTGGTTTAACTAGATAGAACATTAGTGTATTCAGAGTTGACATTATTTATTAAGGCTGGTTGATCAAGAAAATAACTAGGAATCATTATATCCGAGATTTTTTTAGGGGAGTGGGATCCAGATAAAATAGTTTTCTATAGATTTAAACCTAGACTTTTCAATGTAACATTCAAGGCTTTTGATCAACTGACTCCATTATACCTATCCCATTTTCTCTCTCAACTCTATGCTTGCAACCCACCCACCATATCCTGTCTTGGGATCATTCTGAGTTACAATGGTTGTTTTCTTTAATAAATCTTATGTCTTTCTTTATAGCAAACTCCTCAGAAATCTGCCTTCTTTTTAGTCTTTTTCCATAATACCTGACACAGTGCTTGTTATAGTTAGATTACTTAAACACTTGTTCAGTTGAATATTATTTTGGGCCTTTGGAGATGTTTATATAAAACAAAGACATTTTCTCTTTATGTAACAGGCCTGTTTTCCTTCAGGTCTTGCTAACCCTGTGAATTGTCAGCTATGTGAAGGTGAGTAAATAGTTTCATTGGCAATGTTTCACTGGTTTCTAGAATCATTAGAAAGTCAAATGGAGGAGAGCCCTAACCATATTACCTCCAAGATGGTGCAAAAAGCTTTCTGTAATGTATCGTTTGATGTTTTGTTTTATTTGCTTTTAGTTCTCCTCTCTCTCAACTTGAAATCAGAGGACACTAAACGCTACATGATAGCATACGGAAGTATGAAACTCGGTAAAAGTAAATATATAGACATATACAGAATGCAGGACTACTGTAATGGTAGTAGATAAACCACTTTTACTTCTAGTATAAAAGTTAAATTACAAAAGTATCAAAAATATAACTAAAGTATGTTAAAAGATGCATAATATGAATAGATGTCAAATATGACAAAAAAGAAAGTGTTTAGGGAAGAAGTTAGAATGTAGAGTTTTTGTATGCAATTAAACAAGTTGTTATCAGCTTAAAATAGACTGTTGCAAGGTATTTTATGTAAGCCTCAAGGTAACCACAAAAATACCTATAGAAGTACACAAAAGAAAAAGAGAAAGGAATCAAAGCATATCAATATAAAAAAAATCAGCAAAACACAAAGTAAGACAGCAAGAGAGGGAATACAAATAAAAGCATCTGAAGACTAACAAGAAAGAACTAACAAGGTGGCAATATTAAATCTTTCTCTATCAATTATTACTTTAAATGTAAATAGATAAAACTCTCCCAGTCGAAGAAATACTGTGGCTAAATTGAAGAAAGCAAGACCCAACTATATGCTTTCTACAGGAAACTCACTTTA